AACGTGAACCGCCAGGAGAGCCAAACCCCCAGAAAACTTAGCAGACGAGTCCCCCAAAGCGACCAGCCCCAAAGAACCAAGGACCACGTTGAACCACATTGATTCAGGCAATGAACCATGAACCACTGTGGAACAGTTCAAATGGAGGTGGGTCGTCGATCCGCCAGCAACCTGAATCCTCTGGAGCGACATCTACACATCCTGAAGAGGAAGCCGGTGACGCAGCAACCAACAAAAAGCCCCCGGAGGCTGAGCCAAGCGGTCACGAGAGAGGTAGAAGGGACGTCCCGAAAGGAGCCAGAACAGCCGACGAAGCCACACCTGACCCAACGGGTAGACCAATCTGGCAAAGTTAATGCTCCCACAGAAACCATCGTGCAACCACCGCGTGACCCGAGAGCGTGTCCAGGCAGGTCACCCACGACCCGAGTAAGGTATAAGAAATCATGAGATGCCAGATTCAAACCGAATGGAAGGCAACAAAAGCAGTAACACTGGTGCCCCACAACAAAACTAAGCCAGTCCCTGAATCCTGGATGAATCGGGACATGCCAATATGCATCCTTGAGGTCCAGGGACATCATCAAGCTTCCGGCTCCAACAGAAGACGAACCTGGGACAGAGTAGTCATCGGAGAGGAGGGCCAATATACCCACGGGTTCAGACAGAACAAGTCCAGAATGAACTGGAGGTCTGCGCAGTCCAGTTTTGGGACCGGAAACAGGTAGGAAACCCTTCTGAGGTTATCTTGAAATGATTTCGAGGCTTAGCGTCCCCGCGGCCCGGTCCTCAACCAGGTGTCGACCATCCTGAGGGACAAGGTTGTTTCGACCACACCCAAACTCACTCACTCCAAGATGACCCTACAGAGCCCAGGAGAAGAGGCCTGCCCCACTAGCCCCGAACCCCCCTCGAAGGATAAGGAGTCACCCAATGCCACCGCAGGCTGCATGAAAAAACCCGAAAGACCAGCAAATTGTAGGACCAGGTGCAAGCAAACAAAGCGAACCTCTTCCCCACCGCCCCGTCAATGGGACGAACCATGAAAGAGCCGACGCATCTTACGAGCACCTAAATGGCGCATAGGGCAATCCCCGTGCCGAACAGAAACAGACGGCACTGAAGGCTGTGCCAGCACTGAATCTGACAATCACTGTCCTACCACGATGGGAAGAACCCTGAGCCCTGGCACGACCCCACTTTGAAGGCCCCCCCTCCCCATGAGACCCCCGGAGGACCAACAAGTCCGTCATAGGATGGCAACTAGCCGAAGCTGCCTGCAGATACTACACAACCGCAGATTTCGCAACCAGCAATGAACAAAAAAGCAAAGACAGTCTAAGAGCCAGGGCCCAAACGGATTCCAATGAAGAAGCGAGCACCGCCTGCTGACACTTGAGTCAAGAAGCAAAAAACCATGAAACCGTATCCTGCAGGAGCGGCACGAACAGCTTCAACAATGCAGACAACGCACACTCCCTCGTGGGCAACACACTAGACCCAGAGGCAGCACCAAGCACCTCCACATCCAACTCAAGCCAGTCCGAGGACAGTTTAAGGAGGAAGAGGAAGAGGAAACGCAAGGCCAAAGCCAGCAGGCCACGTGTACGAAGTCCTCCATGGCCAATGCAGCCAAAAGGGAAGGAACCTGCACATGAAGCTGCATCACACCAACACCCCACGGAAGGGCAGGGGTGAACAAGCATACATTGAGATGCTCAAATTCGCCGCCAGGAAAACCTGCAATGTCGTCCGAGCCTTCCGCCACTCAAGCGTGTGGGAGCGGTAGAATGTATGCCACGCGTCTAAAGAGAAGAGAGGGCAGTCTGCTAACCAGGATGACTCTGGAACGTCCTAACTAACCCAGTAAGGACACGAAGATCCATACATGAAGGAACACGGATCCATCCTGAAAGCATAATCTGAGTCGCGCAGCAGGTAAGCCGCAAGGGCTTCCCATAACACATGGGAAGCGATACGGGAAGCCAAAAACCTCTGGAAGGACAGAACCAAAGAACTGTCGGGGTCACGGAACTGAACCCGGGGAGGGGTGCCAAATCCAATTCATACGAGGAGGGAGCAAAAGAGAACCCCATTCCTTGTAATACCAAGCTCCGCTCTGAGGGGTACAAAAACCCAGGGGCCCAAAGTCGAAGGCAACCCCACCCGTGCCCCGGGAACCTCACCCCGGGGACCTGGGGGATGAGCCGTCCTCCAAACCCCCCCCCCCCCACCTTGAAAGGAAAGGCAGGAGTTGCCAAAAAAAGCAGAAATGAAGGGGGCCCACTGGTCAGACCCAGAATAGGAGGCTGGAGGCTGGAGTATAAGCCTCGAATGCCTCCGCCACCACCCCAGAAGGGAACACCCCCCGAGACCACTTGAGTCTCAACACCAACTAGATCCTGTCCCGACTTGGAAACCCTCAGATGTTTCGGAACTGGAAGCAGGGGAAGAGGAATCAGATGAACAACAGAATGGGAAGGACAATGAGGGGCAGGCAGAACCAAAGTCGAAGAGATTCCCACCCCAAGTCCGGATCCCTATAACCAAAACGGGGCAGCCTCGGGACATCAGGGGAGGCAACCAACCTAACGCATTGCAGCAACATGAACCTAGCATGCAAAGCAGCTGCTGCCCGCACCCTCATAACATGATCAGTAGCTTGGGTGAACTGGAACACGTACAAACAACAAACGTTGCACAACTCCGGGTCAAAAGAATCAGCAACCCTACAGGCAGCATGGTGGAGGCACAACCGATGATTGTCACCCTAAGACAAGGGGACAGCAACCATCTACCTCGCATGAAGCGAGAGGAACTCAGAGTCACATTCATTGAACCACAGAGACCCCGCAGGGTTTCCCAGGGCCCTTAGCCTTGGTAACACACTAAGGAAGCCCAGGCAGGGTACTGCAAACCAGCACCCAAGACTACCAAGCAAACTTCTAAAAGCTAAACCCCCCGGGATGTGTCTACTCACTGGGGCCTAGCAGGGGGAACCACCAAGAACACAGATGTATATAAATACAATAAGTATAAATAGGGGACAATCAACCGAAGGCAGACCCCCCTCACAAGGCAGGAAAACAGAAACAAAAGAAAAACCCGCAAGAGGACAATGTACCCAAGCAGAACAGAACTGGCTGCCATAAAAGGGGATAACTAGCTGTGCAATACCCTGTGCCCTTACCAGTGATGAAAACTACCTCCAACCCAGAGCAAACAAGGGCAACAAAAACCCCAGCTGACTCCAAGGGCGGGCCAAGTACCGAGCAGTAAAAGACACATCGGAGGTAGATCCTAAGGCGACTTGTGGAAGGTGGCCCCAAGCCCCAAGGGCAGTACTTACAGGGCACCTAGGGAAGCAAACCCTAGGTGCACGCAGCCCGAGTACTGAAGATTATTACTCCTGGCTCACACACCACCAGTAGAGACTGTCCACCCCACAAGACACAGAAACAAACAAAATCTGGAGCCAGAGGCACATGACCTAGCCAGTATCACATCAGCCAAGAACTGAAGGGTGGATTGCCGGAACAAGGGTCTGGAACACCCTCTTCCCCCTCCCTGGAAGGGAGGAGTTGCACAGACAGCGGCATGGTAACATGATGATGTCATGCTCGTTTACTAATTTTCGTTTGGGGAGTTTTGTCTACTTGTTCGGCTTTTGGTAGCAATATTTTCACCAGAATAGGGGTTTGTTTTGGGGCGCCTGCCTCTCTGGGTGCCAGACCCGGTTGATGGCAGACACAGAATGCTCCCAACCACACGGGTGTTTCTATAGGCCATTGCTCCTCATGCCTCTCTGAGGGGGCCAGGTTCTGACTCGTGGTATCGGGTAGGCAAGAACTCCATGTACACTGACTGATGTCAGAAAGTTAATATACCCATATCAGCCTGGATAGCTCCAGGAAGCCGACGGGGCTCCCCCCATAGAAAGAGGACAAAAATCTAAGAGCCAGGGCCCAAGCGGATGCCAAAGAGTGGACGAGCACCACTTGCCTGCACACGAAGCGCGAAGCAAAGAACAGAGACACCGCTTCCTTCAGAATCAGCGTAAACAACCTCAACAAGGCAGCCGATGCCTGAGCCACCACATCCTCCTCGAGCCAGTCCGAAGACAGCTCCAGCAGGGAAAAGAAGTGCAAGATCAATGCCAAATGCACCTGCACCTGAAGCTGCACATGGCTGATAACATGAGAAAGCACTGGAGCGAACAAGCAAGCATTGAGGTGCTCAAACTCGCCCCCTGCCAGGTAAACCTGAACGACCAGTCAACTCCCGCCACTCAAGCGTACAGGTCCGACAGAACGCATGCCATGCCCCCAATGAAAAAGCTGCATGTTGGGGGCATGGTACTTCTGGAATTACTCCTGACTCGCACATGACCACAGCACAACACCACAAGGCACAGTACAGCACTGCTCAAGGAGTCGATCGACTGCCACCCAACACAACAGCCTCAGAACTAGGGTTTGTGAGCCGGCTTGGGAAGTCTGGGACCACCCCCTTCCTACTCCCGGGGAGTGAGGAGTTGTGCAAACAGCAGCACGACGGCTTTGGCGATGTCAAGCTTGTTTGCTCGTTTTCTGATTGGGGAGTTCTGCTTGCTTATTCGGCTTTCGGTTAAAAAAAATTCACCAGTTGTAATTGTTTTGAGATTCCTACCTTTCTGGGTGCATAACTTGGTAGATGGCAGATATAGGCTGCTTCCAACTACACAGGGGGTGTCTATAGGCCTTTGCTCCTCATGCCTCTCTGAGGGGGCCCAAGTTCTGGCGTTAGTCCCTGGTAGGCTAAGAACTCCATTGACAGACTATTGTCACAATCTAATATAAACACATCAGCCCGGTATAGCTCCAGGCAGCCGAAGGGCTCTTCAGATTAAAAAAAACATACATACAATGCTGTAACTTTGCAGTACAGGGATATAATTAACACACTTTTCTTGGACATGGGCATTACTATCACAATAAGCAAAACAGAGTAGTAAAACATACATCATTTTTTCCTCTGTGTCCCGATACTCTTTATTCAACTTCTGCTGAAGAGCTTTTATGTCAGCTTCAAACTTGTCCTGTAGTTTTTTCTTCTCAGCTTCTAGGTGTTTAGCTGCAGCCTGAGATGAAGAAGTTCGTACTTCAGACACAACCAAAGGTTCTTAAAATTATTTCTGAGTGAAATGTTTGTAGCCCCTAAGACCAACAGAGCAAAACCTTGAAATATATACAAAATGTTTCTAATTTGAGTGATTATGAGAAAGCAAATGGAAAAAAAAAGTTAAACTTTAGAAGTAGATATGAGAATCTGAAAGAGTATTTACCAGAGATAAATTAACAAGACAATATGTTAGAAAACCATCATTGAATGTACTGTAATGAAATGCCAATTTCTGAGTGAGCCCCTTTGACTCCCCGAAGCTATAATGATGATAGCACTTAGTAGTTTGTCGCTGTATCACTTGCAAAGTTCTTTTAAGCCTACCAAGGCCCATGAGCTAGAACCTGGAAACCTCTAATGAGATGTAAAGAGCAAAAGCACTATGATAAACTTGTCCGTGAATTTTAATCATGTCTACCACCATTGGGAAAGCTCCCGTGAAGTCACTGAAACTAAAAACAGTCAACTGCTGGTTATAAAAAATATTAAGATCTTAAAATCACTACCTATCCATGGAGAAAGAAAATAAGGGGACCTACCTGGGAAGAGGGAGCACCGCAGGTATCACAACAAAGAAGAAAACACGTTTCGTGACACAACCCAAGGCCACAAAAGGCCGATGAGAAGGAACACTGACAACATACCTGGCAGCCAGGACCCTGTTCAACATGCAAACCCCCCCCCCCCCCCCTGTGCCTGAAGATCAGCCCAAAACATATTGGCATAAACATCTGAACAATATGGGCACAATGGTAGACTGCAGGTTGACTAGACTTAACACTGCCGATGACCAGAGAAACACTAGCCCTGAAGTGGAGGACAAGTGAACTGGATCAATCCACAAATGGGTTCAACAAAGCAAAGTAGTAGCACAAAGGTAGCAGTGTAGACCTGCCACCAGACACAGAACATGAACACCCAACCAGACCAACTAAGCATCCACCACCAAAGGACCCATTCAAAAGCTAATAAAAACATTCTTCGCTAGAAAAGAAGGAGCTGGCTGCAAACAAAACGACCTTCACGGTTGAAAGAACAGAAAAACCAGCATTCAAAGTTCAGTGTTCAAAAAACCAGCGTTGAATGTAATGAAACGCCATTTTCTGGGTGAGCCCCGGAGGCTCCCTGGAGCTTATCGGGGCTAATGTATGTTATATTAGACCGGGACATAAGCTAAGGAGTTCAGACCTACCAGGGACCAGCGCCAGAACCTGGCCCCTTCAGAGAGGTTTCAAGGAGCAATAGCCCTGGAAAACCCCTTTGTGGTTGGGGATTTCCTTATCTGCCATCGACCGGGGTCAGGCACCCAGAAAGGTAGGCATAACAAAACAAACCCCACATGGTAAAAACTAAAACAAAAAAATGAACAGAGGTAGAAACTCCCAACAATCACAAGGAAACAAGCAAACAAGCAAACATCACACTTTACTGCCACGCCGATCGTCCGCGCAGCCCTCCACGCCCCGAGATGGGGAGGGGGGAGCCCCGGACCTACCGCGCCGGCTGCCAAGCTTCAGTTCGGAAGCTAAGCTTCAACCAATGCGAAAAAAAAACCCAACCGATGGGAGGGAGGGTTGCCAGGGAGCCTCTGGGACTCGCCTAGAAAATGGCATTTCATTACATTCAACGCTGGTTTTCTGTGGGGAGCCCCTACGGCTCCATGGAGCTACATACCCAAAGAGAAGGAAAATGGGGACTTTCCCGGGAGGCGGCGGCCACAAACTCCTCAACGTGAAGTGAAGACTGCAACCTGCAACCCATAGCAACACAAGAACGCCAAGGAGCAGGCACATTCATCAAATAACGGGCAGCCAGGACCCTGTTCGACTTCCAAAATCCACGTGCCCGAACATGAGCCCAAGACATGTTACCAAACGCGACAGCCAAAGCTGCAAACTTCCGAACGTCGTGGGTGCGAAGATAGACTGCAGGCTGGTTAGACTAATAACCCTGCTGACTATCTGGGAGACCCGAGCCCAGGGAACAGGGAACGAGGGAAACCGGATCAACCTGCGCATCCCCCAGCCACCCCAGCTGAGGCGCGCAGGTAACGGCGAAGAGCCACAGCCAGACACGACATATGATGCACCCCCGGTCGAACCAACCAAGCATCAATGACCCATGGACTCCTCTGGAAAGCAGCCATCTCGTTCTTCACCAGAAAAGAAGAAGACTGCAAACGGACAAACCTACCCCCAGGACCAAAAGAGCAGAAACCCCTGCGCCAGAGGAGAGCATGAAGCTCTCCTACCTGACCCCAAGAGGCCAATGTCAACAAAAACAAAGCCTCGGAAAAACAATCTGGAATCGAAGGGGCCATCACAAACCGAGGAGAGGAAAGATATGACAGCACCCTGTCTAAGGACCAGGACAGCTCAGGCGGCGCATGAGCAGGCCGGAGGTGAAACAGCATGAGAAAGCTTACGGAACAGGGAGGATGTGAAGTCCCCTCAGAACTCTAGCTTGAGCGGCTCCGCCAGTGCCACACGATACGAGGCGATAGTATTAGGCATCAAATGACGGTCCTGAAAAAGCCAAGAAAGAAAGAACAAGACAACCCGATCTGAAAAAGATGACAACCAACGAAGAGCAAGAAAATGGCAAAAAGAACGCCAGGAAACTTCATACTGTCGCCGAGACGAAACTCTCAGGTGAGACACCATCAACGAAGCCACCTGGTCACCATAGAAATGGTGATACACCCACGTCAAAAAGACCAGACGCGAAGAGCAGAGGAGAAGGTTAAACCAGCCTCATACCGGACCGGGCCGACCTGCTGAAAAAGGCGGAGCCACAGGAAACACCTGGGGTTCGGACAGCGAGCCAATAGCGCCGGAAACCAAGGCTGGGCCAGCCACCAAGGGGCCACAAGGACTACTTTCCCTGGGAAGGTCTCCAACCGAGCCAGAACTCGAAGCAACAGCTGGACCAGGGGAAAGACCTACAGGTAACCCCACCTCGACCAGTCCTGCCAAAAGACATCCACCGTGAACGCCTCGCAGTTGGGGAAGGGGGGTCACATAGACTGGGAGATGCCGAGACCACGCAGACGCAAATAGGTCCACGTCTGGGAGACCGTACGTCTGGCAGATCCAACGAAACAAGTCGTCGTCGACCGTCCATTCTGTGGACAGGGGAATGAAGTGAGACAAGTCGTCCGCCAGGACGTTGGACACTACCCGGACATGAACCGCACAGAGAGCTAAACCCGGAGAAACCAGCAGACGAACCAATCGAAGGGACCAACCCCAAAGAGCCAAGGACTGAAGACAACCCCCGCAGTTCAGACAATGAACCACTGGAGACCAGTCTGAATGGAGCCAGATGGTCGATCCCGAGCAGCCTGAACCCTCCAGAGCGCGAATCAGACTGCCGCGAACTCCCAAACCGTGCTGTGAGCCCGACGGAAGGACGGATCCCACCGCCCCTGGCCAGCCTGGTGAGCACTGGTCACAAAGCCCCAGCCGAGAGACGACGCATCCGTGAACACATCGAGCGAAGGCTCGGGAAGGTGCCAAGTCACCGAACCCTAAAAACCCCGAAGAGAAAGCCGGTAACGCAGCAACCAATACAAGGCCTCCGGAGGATGAACCCAACAATCACGAGAGAGGCGGAAGGGACGTCCCCGACGGAACCAAAACAGTTGCCAAAGCCAAACCCGACCAGGCGGGTAGACTAGCACAGCAAAGTTCAGACTCCCACACAACCACTCAAGCAACTGCCAAGTGACCCGGGACCCCCTCAGAAACAGCCGACAGCGGGCCCGCAGCCGCAGCAAAGCCTCTGGAGAGAGAGACAAGGAAGCGGTCCGAGAATCCCAAACAAGACCCAGCCAGGTCCGAACCTGGGACGGAACCAGATGGGACTTCCTCCAGTTCACCATTAACCCGTACCTGGCAAGCTGGGAGAGAACCATATCCCTGGCGAGCAATCAAGCTGACCGACTGGGAGCCCACACCAGCCAGTTGTCGAGGTAGGCCAAAACCCAAATTCCTAGAAGACGAAGACGGGTCACCACAACCCGGGTCAGACTCGTGAAAACGCAAGGTGCCAGATTCAACCCAAAAGGTAGGCAGCGAAAGCGGTAAGTGTGACGCCCCACCACGAAACCTAACCAGTCCCTGAACCCCGGATGAATAGGAACGTGTCTATAAGCATCCTTGAGGTCCAGGAACACCATCCAGGCACCCGGCTCCAACAGAAGCCGGACCTGAGACAGTAGTCATCCGAAAGAAGAGGCAAGGAATCCAGGGGTTCATACGGGACAAGTCCAGAATGAGCCTCAGATCCACACAGTCCCGTTTCAGCATTGGAAACAGGCGGGAAACCCACCTGAAGGACGGAGTCGTTTCGACTACGCCCAAGCGCACCTACTGCAAGACGATTTGATGAAGTGCAGGAGAAGAAACCTGCCCTGTTAGCCCGAACCCCCCAAAGGAGGACGGGCCGCCCAACACCACCGCAGGCCACATGACACAACCGAAAAAGCCCACAAATCGTGGGACCAAGCATGGGCAAACAGAGCGAGCCTCCCCCCCATCGCCCCGTCAATGGGGCGAACTGTGAAAGGGCCGACATCCCTTACGAGAACCCAAACGTCAAACAGGGTGATCACCGCGCCAACCAGACAACGCTAGCCCCCGAAGGGAATGTTGGCTCAGAAACTGGCACCAATGGCTCACCTCAACCAGCGGAACCTGGAACCCTGACACGACACCTCCAAGACTGCTGAGAATGACCGCCTCGGAGAATCAACAAGTCCGCCATAGGACAACAACTAGACGAAGTCGCTTGCAGAAACTGAGAGACCCCAGTCTCTGCAAACAGCAACAGACAAAACGGAGATGAGAACCTACGAGCCAGGGCCCAAGCGGATTCCAAAGAGAGGATGAGCACAGCCTGATGGAATGTGAGGCAAGAAGCAAAAAAACAGAGACTCTACTTCCTTCAGGATGGGCG